TCACTCTAATTCTATTTCAGGAGGATGCATATCATAAATAAAAATAATCGCTCTTGACTAGAGACCTGATGAGACTGTTCCGAATATTTTTTCAATGAGCGATCCTTCGGGCACAACAACAGCGTTATCGAAAGCTTGAAGACAGTTTTCTGAGTTCGATCTGTGTGAAAGTTTTCTTAGTTCGATCTGTGTGAACAACACCTGAGCCATGACAAAAATATCAGACATGGCTAAATGGTAGCAAAAATTTGCTTTGAAGAATTAGAAAGTATAAAACTACACTACTGAATTTGTTTCCTTAGTTTCCTAAAAATAGCTAGGGACCACAGTAGTGGCTAGAAATCTGTTGACTACCGGCTTCGAGCATAACTTTTGCCCACCTTACCAATAAGCCTCAAGTGTTGAGACTTTACACAAGGTAGTGGTGGCAATGGACTGCACCATTGATATTTTCGTTGGTTGGTGATACTCTTTTTCTTTTTTCTTCGACTATGAGTTGAGTGTTTGCAGTGCCTTCAGGGCCACAACAACGCTGAACTCTCTTAGAAACTGAAGGAATTTTCGACATTTTTCTTGAGTAAAAAACCGAACTGCTGTTCATCTAGTGATGTAATAAAAAACTGAGTCCTCAGAAGCGGAGAACTATACTGCCATGAATGTGAAAGGAGCTGTCCCCAGAATGTCAAGGTTCCCTTTTCACTGTCATCCATTTTCAATAGATTTCTGACCATTTTTAATGGATTTCTCACAAGAAAGCTTAGTATGCCTTCGTGCTTTGCGGCAGCGTCCACTAGCGACTACTAGCGTTCAGGGCTTCCAACAAAGTCAGCCACTAGAAAGCAGCCACTAGAAAGGTTAGATATCTATCTCTCGTCTGCCAGCGTCTAACAACGTCTGCCAGCGTCTTGAGAACTAGGAAACATGGATATCGAATTAGGTCGCAGGCATCTAACAGCGACCGGGGGAAGAAGTACGGAAATAGAAGGGTGCATACATGAATAAGCGTGCGCGTATTGGGACTTTGCCAAAAAAAAAAAAAAAAAAAAAAAAAAAAAAAAAAAAAAAAAAAAAAAAAAAAAAAAAAAAAAAAAAAAAAAAAAAAAAAAAAAAAAAAAAAAAAAAAAAAAAAAAAAAAAAAAAAAAAAAAAAAAAAAAAAAAAAAAAAAAAAAAAAAAAAAAAAAAAAAAAAAAAAAAAAAAAAAAAAAAAAAAAAAAAAAAAAAAAAAAAAAAAAAAAAAAAAAAAAAAAAAAAAAAAAAAAAAAAAAAAAAAAAAAAAAAAAAAAAAAAAAAAAAAAAAAAAACCGCGGTGTCCAATCCACTACACCGTAACTCAGAATTGATAATTTTGTGTTCTAGCATGATTGTGGTGTTAGCGGTGCACACTCACATCCACGGCTGTTTACCCCCTACGTCCCCACGCTTTTCTACTCCGTTCCGTGGTAACGGATGGTTTAGACGTTAGATTCACACCTATCTTCCATAGGACCGACTCTGGGCGGACGCTGGCAGACGCTAGGTATATATTTTCTAGCTGCTGATGCTTCCGGACGCTCGGAACGCTAGTGGACGCTAGTAGGCTCTGGTGGGTGCTTTGCATCCGCGCAAATTATAAAGGCAGCCTCAGTCGACGTTTTAGGAGAACCGTTTGAATATTATTATCCACTAGCGAGATCCACTAACCAGGATAGAGGCATTTTACGCAGACGCAGCAGCGCTTTCAACCCACTTATCCTCATCATTGCTGATAATTGGGCGAGCTGAGGGGGGGGGGAGGATGAATTCTCAGGCGTCCCTACAGAGTTATGTCTGTGCGATCAACTATCAAGTTGTCTGTTATTCATTGCGTCCTCTAGCCCCGCTTCCATGGTGGCGGCTTTGAACATTTAGCCTGTTGAACAAGCGCTTATTTTCGAGATTCAGCTAATTCATCTCTCTGCACCGAAAGCGCTTTTTCGACCTCAAACTTCCGTAACTTCTACCCAATTCAAATTTTCAGGCTAAATGTATCAAGGGTAAGTCTACGAATGTCTAGACTCAAATGCTTAAATCGTGCTTATGGTTAGAGCTGAGGAAAATGCCTGTACCTAGCAAATGAAACTCAATAGTAATGAGTGGCGGCCCATTGCTAACACACGGTGCACGGTAAGCCTGCAGAAGGACACTTTCAGGTTATAGAGCTTCGGCGGTCTCCAACGAATCGGCTTACCGCTACAGTTACTGTGACTTCTTCCTGTGACACACAGCCTTTCCAATAACAACGGTTCGTTGATGTAGTCATTGGAGTGGTTAGTGCCGGGGGGGGGCGGCGGGGGGGGGGGCTATCGCGAGACATCTCATTATATCGATGGGGAATCGCAATCGTTTGTTTTTTTGGTTATTCTTGGGTTTGACGATAATCCGTGTCGTTTCAAACTAGGTTTTCAAACTTTTTTATTATGCCACGATTTTACATAATTGCTATTGTCTTTCCGTATATATTCAACTGTTCTTTCTTGGACCTGTGCCAGCTCCGTGCGCGAGGGGATGGCGGATGCATTGCTGGCTCGTATAGTTTTTAAGGCGCAGTTACAGAATATGCGTAACCGCTTCAAGCGCAGCCCAGAGAAAGGAAAAAATGGAATAATGTTGAAGGGTTGTCGACTAATGGGGGAGACACTGGAATGTATGCGTTAGGCGTAGCCTGGATTGCGGTTTTGGTTAGTCCACGTAATATGATACATAGTGGCGGGTTCGTTCCCAATAGAGTTCAGATATAGCAAAAAATGCGATGCGCAAAAGGGAAACATCAGGCGCGAGTTCGGCATGCCGGTGTGTTGAGACGCACCCACAACGGCGGGCGGGCGTGAACTAAATCGTAGAGGATTCATTTCAAAAAATTGGCCTACGAACAACTTGAACTCAATCCCCGACTGTAAGTGAATCACCCACCCCGGAGTCCCCTCCCCTTGAAAAATCCCGTTTCCTGGCTCGCCATACGTTTTTTGCACGTTTCGATGCTTTGGCAGCCGCTGCCCTCTATCCGTCTGCGTCACAGGGTTTCGTAACAGGACCATGCACAAAAGTTCAAGATGTCACGTAACCTCAAAAATTGTAGCTCGGTTCCACAGCACCCAAGACACCGGAAAAAAAGTGAATCAAGGTCAGCGAGAGGTTACCTTGAGAAGAGTGGGATACATACGTCGTGCAGTCTGCGCAGAGGCGGGCGGAGCTAGACGAAAAGACAGGGCACGTCGTTGGTTGGGGATGTTAGTCCGACCCCCCTACCCTTTTTTAGGAGTTGGTACGACCCCCCCCCAGCCCTCTGTCCTTCCTCATCGAATCGAGCCGTCGAGCGGGGGGGGGGAGGGGTAAATAGCACATGTGAAACAGGAAAAGTCGCGAGACAATACGACCCCACCCCCTTTACAACGTCCATGAAGCGAGAAAAATCAACTATCAAAATAAATTTTTCTCAGCCCAAATACGATCCCTCCCCCTCTCCTGGCGGCCAAATACGACCCCCTATTGGGGATTCCCCAGCAACGATGTGCCCTGCGAAAAGAACTGTAGAACGGTTTCAGAGCTCGGCTTTCTCTCATATGTTCACTTGATCAACGCTTATTACCACCATACCATGGAAGGTAATAGTGTTGGATGTAACAGCGTGATACTAATGGTTAAAAAGACTGGTTAAGAAAAGAAAAGTCGGGTATTGGTTGATATTGAAACATAAGCAAGAAGGTTCGAGCGGCAAAGTCGCCACTGTCGGGAAGCCAGGCCGTATTGCAAAAAGAGGCACGTCGGCGTCAGCCGACGAGCAGACTGCTAAGCTATAAAATGGAGTTCCATGATGCAATATAACATCAAAAACTCCCAGCTCCGGTGACTGTCTCACCAATCTAATATTAAAAGCTTTAATTAGCAGTTCATAGGGTGTAGAAGTGCGCGAAAAGGCTTCAGGGGAGGATGGAGTGATTACACAGCAAATCGTTAGAGGGTAATAAGATAACTTAGTCGTTTTCTGTAGTATGCTTGAGGCCTTATCGTACACTGTGTGTTAATGGCGTTCCCCATGAGCCGCCTTTCCTATTCACAGCAGACTGTTGGATTCAGATTACTCAGTTTTTTATTGCACCGATGGAAAGAACAATAATTCGCTCTCATACCTGGAGTAGTGTCAAAGTCCTTCAGCATTTGACATCCAGCGTTATTGTAACCAAGCAAATCCGCCAATAGTCCTTATCAAGGGTAAGTTCAGTCCCTACATACATCCATACGCAATGCTGCAGTTTACTTGCAACATTGAGAGGTGTAAACTGTCAAAATCAGAGAAGAGTTAATCGTTCGTGAAAAAGTTATGCATGACAAAACCGCAGGCCAATTGATTTTTTTGCATTACTCTATGTTGTCAGGGTACAGCATCGTGGTGTGTGAAGCGGTAGTGCCAGTACAACCCCCCCCCCTCAAGGAAGGGTCGTGGTACGACCCCTCTCCCACCTTAATAAGGTCTCGGTGCGAGACCCTCAGTTAGGTGGGGGAGGTGAAGCGGAGAGGGGGTAAGTAGTACACATGAAACAAAAAAAATAAATCACGCGAAAAGCCAATAACCGGGAAAATTTTTTCCTAACGCGACGAACTTCTGTCAAAGCCACATACGACCCCTCCCCTCTCCCAACAACGAAGTATCGAGACTACAACAGCACACCTGTGCAGAAGCTTTTAAAGTAACGAAGCTCTCTGGAAAGAAAAGCAGCCAAGGAGTTCTTGAACCCACCACGATATAACGACAGAAGCTCAGGATTATAACTAGGTAATTTATGATTACAATCAGGTAGAAAAGTAAACGGACTTTGCTTCTAATAACCAGACTTCGGCAATGTAGGAACTTACCCCTTTCCATTTTCATAGCCGGGGCGAACCCAAAGCTTAACTTTCCAGTGCCGGCAGGCTCTTTAAGTTCTATGAGTAAAGGTCAGAAGCAGGTCAGCAGTTGAAGAATAGGAAGATCGTCAATGGAATCTCAGTTAGTTGTCCTTTTAGTTGTTAATGATTTGGGCGTAACTGGTGATGAAGTTTTCGTACTGTTGTTCCCGATGTCAACCTCACGCACAGTAATATCCGAGCAGGCAGCTGTGGAGTCTGAAATTCTTAGTACAGGTACGGGTACACTGGTATAATCGAATACATCTCAGAAGCAATTATTGAGCATTCAAACACTGAGCACTCCTTCCTGCCATTTTTGCAGCATCAAACACAGGTTTTGTATTTAAATCCTTATTGTAAGCAATTACGCTTTTGTCGAGAGAAAGGGTTCTTCGACGAAATCTGATCAGGGCACATCATCGTTGGAGATTCCTCCACAGGGGAGGTCGTGTTTGTTCCCCTCCGCTCGACAGCTCGATCGTATAAGAGGAAGAGGATCGTATCTCAAACCACCTCCTAGAGGGTGGGGGTGGCATGGATTCGACCAAAAACCACAACCAATGCTGTGCCCTGGATCTGATCGTCTAGTTTTTCAGGGAAAGAAATTTTCCCTCAAACGGAAGCTGCCGCTCTCTGCGTTTCCAAGTTCAACAAGCCTAGAAAACAGCGATGAGCCAAGCACCAGCTCCAGAGAATGGAACGGAAGCGAAGCAATCGTAATTTTTCAAGTGGAGGAGAACGAACAGGTACGACATATTTGTGCCCTCGAGCTGGAAGCACTGACGACTTCACGGAGATTGCATTCATCATGTGATCTGCCACACGATCGCGTTGTCCTCTTCATCTATGAACTTGCAGGAGGCCTCATAAAACCACACCAACACCACTTCGACGTGACACATCAGTTCTATCGCGAGAAGCTATAGGCAAGGGCTCGTTCATATCTTGTTCAGCCCCTACAGCTTACATCTCGTCGTTGAAGGTCTGTATCTACAAACATCTTAGGAGCGCGGAGCGGTCGCCATTTCAGGAAGAGATGAGAGCTGCGGCGGCACGAGAAAATGTTGATGCACTACTTAGCTCTCTCCCTGCCCGGCTTAGTTCAGCACAGTACCTCCGAGCAGAGTCAAGGTCTGCGAATGGGCGCTTGTGCGCGCATTCACATCACGACCCAACGTATTCAACTTGGCAGTTCTTTGCTCGCTATGCCGCGCCCCGGATTTAGTGAGTCACGAATGTATACCGATACTTCCGAGTCCCAGCATCGCATTCGATCCTATCTACTTGACGTAAAAGACACACATATGCGCAGGGATACGTCGCGTCCATTCACGTCGACATTGAATAGTTAGGTCCTAGCACGAATGCCGCACGCTTGCAAAAAACAGTCGTTCGCGACCAATCTTTGACACGCCCACTACGACTCGGAAATGAGGTCATACTCTCCGGAACTGTATGTATGTACCGCTCTTGAACTGTCACTTGATGTTTCCACGATGGCGATGATCCTTTTTCTCTACGCCCCGCCTCCCACACTTGGGGGTATAGACCTCGCCCCAAACCCCATAACGATATTAAACTAGCCGCAGCAAAAGGTTTCACCTGTTGTCTCATACAGTTAAAACCTAATGATCCGCTACACATAGAAGCCGGACGAGTTCAGTGCTTGATGGCATACATCCACGGCCGTCATGGTTGCTGCTAAAGTATCAGGTGAACACCACATAATGCTGTTCCCGGCTCCTCTGTTGAACATACTCCTACCCATCACTCTTGCTCTTTTCTTTTCTGAGAGATAAATGCCACTGTTAGTGAGCGAATAACCTCTCAGCAGACGCAACAATAGTTTTATGCTGTTTATGGCGGTTTCTTTAAAGCTTACTTTGTTTGCCTTTCGCGTGTATTTGTAAAGTGCCCGTGTGAAATTTTGAGATATCATTGAAGCCATCAAATAATTTTCCGGAAGCAGGAGGAACAAACAGCGACTCACCTGGAGAAGTTAGCTTGGTCTGATCGGAGGACGATCTCGTTTTGTCTCTTTCTTCCAAAATAACGGGCAGCATATCACAAGAGTAGTAGGAGTCATTTCGGGGCGGTGCAGTGGCGATATTGGGAGCCGAGTGCCGCTTGCTTTGAGCTGCTGGTTGATTGGGGACGTGGAGTGATTTCTCGCAACAAGTAGCATCAAGTCCATGAAGGGAAGGAGGGCTTCCGCCTCTGTACATTGGCGGAGTTTGATGACCCGGCGAACTGATCGGTAGAGACACGTTGGCACAGTCACATGATGAAATGCTTAACAGTATAAGGTCAACAAAGGTTGCTCAAAAAAGTGAAAAAGAAACTGAGGAGCTGAATGCTGAAATAGACCTCCTAGCAATATCGAGCTCGTAAATTTGTAATGACGCTAAGGGGTGGAATGAAATGTGCAAGCGTCAACACAGTAACGGGGAAGTGTCTCCTTTGTGCTGAGGTGCAGAGGTGTGAGGATCCCTCCCTTACACAGCCTTTGGTAAGCTCGCTTATCTGCTATCTGCTGTTCGTTCTCCGAATAAGGTGGGGTAGGTTGTGATTTGTGGAGAACGCATTATAAATAATTACCCTAAAATCCCATAGATAAGAGCGGTTTAATTTACCGGTGAAAAATGAATTGGAATGAAATTGAAATTGAATGCAGTCACCCCTCTAACTTGATGGATGGATAAATAAAAATCGGAGAAGAAGTTTAGAAGAAGCTGCCGCTGCCAAGGTTCCATGCAAATCACGATAATTGACGGCGTCTAGCTTGAAAGCTGCTGTATACGATTTACGACGTTTCATAGCAGGTGATACAGGATAGAAAGAGTATAGAAAACAGTAAGAATAAAGGTAGAGTTGTAGGCTATTATTGCGATAATCATGAGCACACAACGCCAAAAAAAAACGTATACAAACGTCAATTTTCATTTTCTAGCACAAACCGCTCTTATCTATGGACCGCTCTTATCTATGGGATTTTAGGGTAATAAGTATAGTAAACATTGATAGGACATAGGACGGCAGATAAGATTTCTTCTTCGCATACGGTGTGTGATATCCGGGGAATTTCGTCGCTCGGAACGGCTTCGTAAGGAAGACAGGTTGATGCCTACGCTCTCTTCGATTATCCTTGTAGGACTCTGTTCCTAAGCGGACACTTAGCGCATTTGGAATTGGAAATATCCTTCGACAGGTGGAGAGCTGCTTCTCGAAAGGCAAAAAAGGGCTGAAGAGAAGCGCAGGGCATGCTTCCCAATCCGCGTTTGGGGAGCCCTGGCTTTTTTCCACTTTCCAAGGTCTTTTGGAACCAAACTCTAGCTTTGAATTCTTTGTGGCAAGCGCCGCCCATTTGCAGTACGCCGCACCCAGTGTAGGCATGCTTCATTTCATGCGCCTACCCATTCATATCCTTTCCCCTTTTTCCTGTTCCGCGTTCTTCTGGAAAAGAATTACGAATGAAATAAGTAGCTCCTAGCTGTGCGCACGTTCCGCCCGCAGTAAGCGAACTTGGCTCCACTTGTGTGTGTTCCTTACCCCAAACTTGACCTGGCGCCTCTAACTGACTTTTCAGGTAATGCCGGAATTTCGAACAGACAGACAGGCAGACAGACGTTGCCATTTACAAAAGGATGGGATAGGACACCAGCGTAATTACAAAATTGATTCTGACGTGTTCGCAGTGCTTCGCCGACATACCCTCTTCAGGGAGCATCTCTTATGACGCGAGCTCTCTAAAACAAACAGAATCGCCTGATTCCCTTTCATGCACTTTCAATTGGCGAAAGTGGCACGCTCTGAGGCTGTGCATGAAATTACCCTATACAAGGGAAAAATTCCTAGCTTTCACGCAGTTATGCATTGTGCAGTCAATAGCAAACTATGGAGAATCACCACTCGCTCATTGAGTCTGTGAGCGTCTCATTTCTCAAAAAAAAACCGCAGTAATAGGAATCATCTTGACTCACTTCGAAATGCTGTCATTATTGTCTTCAATCGTTTGCAGATCACGAGACGGTGTGCCACGTCGGAATGCGATTGCACCTGAACCACAAGTATCTTGAGGCCCGTTATGCCCAACGGATTGTCGACTAGAACTCTAGAGGAATGGCTAACTCAGTCGTCTTCCTCCATTGCGGATCTTCTTCACCAGTGTCTTCATTGAAGTTGTCGACGTTGATGGAACCATTATATGCGGCACTGACTGCTGGGTTATGCTGAAATCTCAATCTTCTCGTGATTATCTGTCATACAATCACGGAGCCATTCCTATATTTCCACAAGGAGCGTTCGGGTCAAAAATCTGGGCCCCGTGACCACAGGCCGACTGCCTTGTGGTCACGACAGTCCCTTTGTGATACCCCAAGCATCGCCCACAAACTTGTCTTCCGAATTTATAATATAATAATATCCGAATTTCTCAACATTGAGAACTGAAACTCTTTCCAGAGAATTATGCTTCCGTTTCTTTTCTCCAATCTTCACTCCTGTTCGGAGATTACTAGGGTATGGCGCGATAAGATGTTCCCTTAGCTTAGCTACCACTGCTCCCAAAAGGGATTGCCCCACACCGATTATTTTACCCTTAGATTTTACTTGGAGATGAACATTGTAGCTCTGCTACTCTCTCAATCTATACACAGCTATGCATTTGTATGAAAGTAGCTTATATTCCATTATAATGACATTCAAATTATTACAGTCGTTGTCACTGAAGTCAGCCGGGTGTCAGCCCGTGGGTATTGGCACCTCGCTTGCCCCTTCCCCATCACTGAAGAACGCCCCTAGCCACAACGTTTGATAAAAAACACGGTGGCGTCAAGCTAAGCCCACGTGCCGCTAACACGTGAAGGCTGACTTCAGTGATAATACCTGTAGAAAGTTTTTTTCCCGAAACACTTGCGGTACAACAGCTATTAGTAATTTGCTATCCCGTGTAACCGCGGGACAAAAGGCAAGCGTGAGTGCTCGAAAGCAATGGTTCAAATAGCTATTGAGCTGAGAGGGTAGAAGTCGCCCGGTAACGTAATAGGGAACGCAATTGCATGGAAGCGGAAGATGCGGGTTCAAATCCCGCTCCTGGTCTGATTTCTGCCCACAACTCAGCACCCTTGTGATAACTTTCGGATCGCGCCTTGTGGCGTTACGCAGTTATCAAACAATAGCAACATTAGACAGTTCCCGCGATCAAGTGGTCCACGAAATGCCTCCGTGTATTGATATCGCTGGTCGAAACGGTGTGATAACGAAGCTGGAGACGCGTGATTATCAACCGTTGCGACCACGACTACTTTCACTCTGCAAGACAACGGCTCACAAGCAGAATAGGTGTGTACATAGCGTTGCCTGGAGCGTCGTAGGTGATTTCTGTGCTCTTGCCGGGAATGGTTGCACGTCGAATCCTGCTGATTGGGCTTGCCGACGTCCGACAAACTCGTTCAAGGCGCTTACTGCAAAGGGGGCTCTACTCAAAGTGTATCCAAGGGTTTTTTCCCGCTTCTTTCTCTACTGGAGAGTTACTTTTGGGCTACTGATTCATGATTGAGCTCCTGCTACCCGCATCATCTGATTGCCGGAATCGTTCCAAGTATATTTTATACTTCCATAATTCATTCGCTATTTGAGGCTTTCACACTGTGTTCGTGTCTAGATTGATTCTGTGTTGCAGTATGGAATTAAGCACAGAACTAGAATCCGACCGTCGACTTTGAGCAGACGGCAGTTCATCTGTAGAGTACAACAGGATAATGACCTGCTGCGGTTCTCTGCAAGCGCATGTACGAGCTGTTCTCTACTTAGATGGCCTTGATCCCCGGTTTCTACTCTTCTGATTTGTGGTTTCAGTCACTACGTCGCAGCCCATATTCTAGTCTAAGCCAATATAAGTCATAAGGCTTGGCATAGCTTTTAAGGCTGCAAGGTTCAAGGAGCGAATTAAAGGAAGTTCCACACAGCCAGTTTTGGGATGTATGCATATAGACGGACTGGATTCATTAGTAAGTGCTTCGTGGGATCATATCTTGAAAGTCTATGAAAGTTGAGTAAGGACAGCGTACAGCTGTGTGATACTCCAAAAATGAGACCTAGAAAAAGGTGAAAACTCAAATTTCGAGTCAATTCATCACGTTTCGGTTCTGTTCACATGTGGGACATGCTACCTTATCCAGAATCTTGGTTATGGATCAGTCATAAAAACGACTTTATTGCT